AGAACTTCGTGTTATATGCATATATACCACATTTTATTAATCCACTCATGAATTGATGGACACTTGGGTTGATTTCATGACTTTGCAACTGTGAACTGTGCTACAATAAACATTCAAGTCTAGTTGTCTTTTTGATAAAATGACTTTTTTTCCTTTGGGAAAATACCTCCTAGTAGGACTGCTGGATCAAATGGTAGGTCTACTTTTAGTTCTTCGGGGAATCTCCATACGGTTTTCCACAAGGTTTTACTAATATGCAGTCCCACAAACAATGTATAAGTGTTCCTTTCTCTTTGCATCCATACCATTATCTGTTGGTTTTGGACTTTTTAATACAGGGACTATAAAAGCCAATCTAACTGTGGTAAGGAGATATTTCATTGTGGTTCTAATTTGCATTTCCTTGGTAATTAGTGATGTTTAACATTTCTTCATATGTTTTTTGGCCATTTTTCTATCTTCTTTTGAAAATCTTTTTTCATGTCCTTTGCCCAGTTTTCAATGGGGCTGTTTGGTTTTTTTCTTGCTGATTTGTTTGAGTTGTTTATAGATTCTGGATATTAGCTTTTTATTGGATATATACTTTGTGAATATTTTCTCCCATTCTGTAGGTTATCCATTTGCTCTGTTGATTATGTCCTTGGCTATGAAGAAGGTTTTTTTAATTTAAACAAGTCCCTTTCAATTATTCTTGTTATTATTGTGATTACCATTGGGGTCTTCTCCATAATTCTTCAACTATTCTAATATCTAGAAGAGTTTTTCCAAAATTTTCTTCTAGAATTCTTACAGTTTCATGCCTAGAAAAAATAATTCTATGCTTCACTTGGAATCAGAAAAGAGCCCAAATAGCCAAAGCAATCTTAAACAAAAGGAATAAATCTAGAGGCATCACATTAGCAGACTTCAAATTATACAAGGTACAGTAGCCAAACAGCATGGTACTGGCACAAAAATAGAGACATAGACCAATGAGACAGAAGAGAAAATCCAGATATAAAATCATTCACAGGGCGGCACCTGTGGCTCAAAGGAGTAGGAAAAATGGCCCCATATACCAGAGGTGGTGAGTTCAAACCCAACCTTGGCCAAAAACTCTGAAAAAATAATAATAAAATCATTCACATAGAGGCAACTGATCTTTGACAAAACAGACAACAATAAACACTGCAGAAGATAATCCCTATTCAATAAAAGATGCTAGAAAAATGTATACCCACATACAAAAGAATGACATAAATCCATATCTCTCACCACTCACAAAAATTAAATCAGGATGGATAAAATTCTATGTTCTCATAGAAATTTCTTTTTAGAATTATCATCTCACTCTGTCTTCACTTCTGTACTTTCTGTTTACCTTTCAACATTAAACATTTGTCATCTTCTTGCAAGATTCCACCTAACCCACTGTTGTTGAAGTTAACACAGAAATTCACACAAATGCTTAAGCATTTGACCCAATTGACCACTACCTCTCAAAACACAGGCTTCACTGACTTTCTGACCCACATTTCTGTCAACCTCTTTGGAAAATCTTTCTCAGTCTCTTTTGCTAACTAGTCCTCTTTTAAAATTCTCTATGTTGGATTTCCTTGGTTTCAGATATAAGACTTCATCTCTTCTAATATTAGACTCTCTCTCCAGAAGGTCTCATCCATTCCCATGACTTTAATGACAGTCAGTCCTAATGACTTTCAAACTGATACTTCTAGTTCTGATCTCCAGGGTCACAGAAGCAAATCCAGCTAATTATTTGACTCAATCATGATTCAGGGTCTCCACAAACCAACTTGCTCAAGATGGGACACATATTCTTCCCTCCACTGTCCCTTTCAATGACTTTCCTTTTCATTTAGAGTAGAACCCAACCTTTTAGGATGGCTCTAGTCTGTACATAATCTAACAATTGTTTAGCTCTTCAAATATCAGCTCGTGTTTCCGTATTGCAACCTCAATTTCAGTTCCTAGAAAATGCTAAGTTCTTGTCTTGCCTGTTCTCGTGTGTTATTTCTTCTGCCTGGACCACTTTATTACTTCTTCCCACCCATCAATTAAGAGTCTTCATTTACCTAAAATCAACTTATCTATTAGAGTTCCATTCAAATACCATATCCTCTAACTTTCCAATCCAAGTTAGCTAGCACACCCCAGATGTTATTTTCTCTCACAGTGCCTAGTTAATTTACTTCAAGGAAGTTATCACAATGTGTAATTATATAATCATAAATGTTTATGTCCATCTCTTCCAGTAGAGGGTAAGTTCCAAGAAGCAAGGCCATTTTCTGTTTTATTTACTAATATACTGTCTGCTCCATAAACAGTGTTCAAGATATACAAGTTCCTTAACCAAACGAGTAAAAGTTCATCAGAGACACACTAAAATTCACATTCTGGTAATATGGCAGATATTTAGACTCTCATCTCAAACACTCTTTTCATTTATAATACTGCTTCAAACCTAAGTTTTAAACCTCTCAAGTACTAGGTCAGAGACACGACTTTAATTTGCCGTTTGTTCCCTTGACAAACAATCACAAGAAACATTAACTTTGATGCTGCTAATGACATCAAATTACCAAATTCAACCCGCCACCCTCTCACCAAGTATAACGCTAAATAACTCTGTCACCAAACTGAAAATATTTGAAATGATTCTTTCTAGGGACAAACTATATCATCTTAGTTTTCCGGTTATATCCACTGATTAAAAATAGAAGAATGTGCTAATAGGAGGACTCTCCCTAATTTTGAGGAGGAGAAGTTCATAAAAATAAATAAATAAATAACTGGCTTGGCCAGTCTATTATAATAAAACACTAATGCCTTTCACAAACTTATCTAATAATTGGATGATCCACATTTAATGCTGATTGTTGTTTTTAAATGTAAAAGCAGAACATTCTATTTACCAGGTGATGCAAGCAGGTTCTGTTGCATTAGCAAATACAGACTTACATGGAGCCATTTCTCAAAGGACTAATCCTACATTATTAGTAGTAAGAAAATAATAGATAATATTTTCCATGTACTTTTGATAGTCAAAGCACTATTTTTAACTTTTTAAAAATTGACTTTATTTTATTACCCTTTAACACAGATATTATTTTTGTCATTTTGTTAATAATGATAAATACTGAAATTCAGGGACCATGGAAATGGACCTCAAATTTACTTAGCCAGTAGATTGTGGATGTGGGGTAGTCACTCAAGTTTGTGTACTTAAAACCTATTTTATTAACATTCTGGTAATACTGACCATATTTTCCTTTTAGATTAGTTCACCTTGGTTTTTTTTTAATCTTCAAGGTAGTGATTATTGTAAGGTGACCAGATTTTAACATTGGTGAAGCAGGACACCATTGACTGGGGGGCGGGGTGGGGCAGGGCAAGAGCAGGTGAGGGCAGGGCCTGACAACAATGCAAACTTTGATAAGCAGTTCTGGATAATCACTTCTCAACAATTATTTGTTATTATTACAGTTTAACATTATAAAATTAACAAAAATAATATAAAACTCATATCCTGGCAAAATAGCCACATGGCCACCGAAAACTGCATATTCCCTTACTGTTCTCTCACCTGTTTGTGCATTCTTTCCAAAAATCAGGACATGGGACAAATTGTTGAAAATTGGGACTGTCCCACCAAAAGCGGGATGTCTGGTCACCCTAGATTATTGTCCTTTTTCTGTGTACCTAATATTTTTCTAAGTATACATTAAAACTGGCATTAAAAATCAGCATGAGCCATGAGAGTGAGATCAGACAGGAATACAAAATCCCATTTTTTCACTTACTATCTGTTGATCTTGTGCACATTAGCTCACTACAGTAAGCCCCAATTCCTTGTCAATGAAACAATAATAAAAATATTTATATGCTATGTTATGGGATTCTTATAAAAAATAAATAACTCACATCATTCTTTAAATGTCTTCCTTAAACCATAGGAGACATTCAATACGCAGTGGTTCTTATCATATATTTTAAAGTTTTCTTGAGAAGTACTTTTAGTTCCATGATAGCAGTATAAATCCAAGCTGTTTTTATTATCCCCAGCCACAGAAACTCTGCTTTGTAACACAGCCAAAAGAGGCACCAAACCATGTATAAAAGTAAAATCCACAGGTTTCATGGACACAAACCCTACAGTCTTTCCACTGTGCTGAGACATCCCCTTTAGGATCTTCCCAATACCAGATGGGCAGTATACTGATCAATTATTAAAACACAGGCACACCTGGGCTTTAGGTGCCATTTTGTGCCCCTAAAATGCCATTGATTTAATGGGAAAAAAAATAAGAAATTCAATAGGTAAATTATGAACAATCTCTAAGCAAGCATAACTAATAAAAACCAGACCACTCCAGAAAGAGAGTACTGGAATAAATAACTAATCCTTCAATGCAAAGACAAAATGTAGATTAAGAAAGAACAGGACATTTGAAACAGAAAACCATGATCTCCCCAAAGGGACAGCAAGGATCCACTGACTGACCATAATGTGAGAGGGACACATGAACTCTCTGACCAAGAATTCAAAATAGCAGTTTTAAGGAAACTCTGTGATCGCTAAGATAACACAGTAAAGCAATTCAGAAATGTATCAGAGAAATTTACAAAGAGATTGAAATAATTTCGAAAATCAAAACGGAAATCTGAGAATTGAGAAATACATTTGCTTAACTGAAAATCTTACTAGAGACTCTGAACAGCAGAATCGATCAAGCCGAGGAAAGAATCAGTTTAAGAAGGAGCTAAGCAAGAGCAAGGGATAGAAAATTTATTTAAAGGAATAATAACAGAAAACATTACAAAACTTGGGAAAGATATAAATATGCAGGTACAAAGAGGTTACAGAATATCAAACAGAATCAACTCAAATAAAAGTTCCCCAAAGTCATATAATCATCAAAATCTCAAAATTCAGGGACAAAATGAAGAATCTAAAAGTGCAAGAGAAAAGAAGAAAATAAAATGTAAGGGAACTCCAGGGCTTGCTTTGGGAGCACATTTATTAAAATCAGAATGATACCAAGAAGATTAGCATGGCCCCTGCCCAAGAATGACATGCAAATTCATGAAGCATTCCATATTTTTCATTATCCTAAGTGAAGTATTTAAAGAATGGAAAAACAAACACCACATGTACTTACTATTAAATTGGAACTAACTGAAGAGCATGGATGTGCTTAGAGAGAAGTAGAACGTAATGGAAATGAAGTGGGGGGGGAAGGAGGAGGGTATGGGTGAAAACCTACTTAACTTATACAATGAAAACTATCTGGGGAATGGGCACATCTATCACCATGACTTGAGGTATATAAAAGTAATCCCTGTAAACAAAAATATTTTTACTCCCATAATATTTTTAAATAAATAAATAAACATTAAAAAAAAGAAAAAAACACTTATATTCCACAACAACAGATTCTCAATGGAAACTATATGCTCTAAGAGGGAGTAGAACAGCATTTTCAAAGTGCCAAAAGAGAGAACTGCCATTCAAGAGCACTTTATCCAGCAAATCTTCTTCTTTTTCTTGGACAAATAAAAGCTAAAAGAATTCACAAACACCAGATCCTTCTTATAGGAAATGCTAAAGGAAGTTCTCCATTCTGAAAGAAAAAAAAAAACACTAATATGCAGAAAAAAAGATATAAAAGTTAAAAAAACCTACTGGTAAAAATTAAGTACAGAGTTGAACCAGTATACTCTGGTGGTGTGCACTGTGCTTATACCTCTAGTGTGAAGCCTTAAAAAACCAATCTATTAACCAATTAAGAGATAGACAATATAAAAATATGTAAATTGAGATAACTGAAAGCCAAAATGTAGGGGGGGTGGAGTGAAAATGTAAAGCTTCTAATATTTTTTCTTCATTATTTTATTTGATAATCTAAGGTAAGCTGTCATCCATTAAAAATAATATATTTATGTTGTTTATAACCTTCATGGTAGCAAGAATACAATAATCTATAACAGATTCCCTAAGAATAAAAAGCAATAAATTATAACTTACTACTAGAAAAACTTACTTAAACACAAAGTAAAACTGTAAGGAAGGAAAGAAAGAAGAAAGAAGTAGCAAAATAATCAGAAACAAGCAACAATGAAGTAGTGGAGCCTTATTCATCAGTAACACCAAATGTAAATGGACTAAATTCTCCAATTAAAAAACATACAGCAGCTGCATGGATAAAAAAACAAAATTCAAATATACCTGCCTATAAGTAACCCACCTCACCTATAAAAAAACCCACAGAGATTGCAGGTGAAAGGATGGGAAAAGTTATTTGATGCAAAAAAAAAAAAAAAAGGCAGGAGAAGATATACTTATATCAAATAAAATATACTACATGTCAAAAACTAAAAAGGGACAAAGAGTTTAACTATATAATGATAAAGGAGTCATACACTGAAAGCATATAACAATTATAAATATACATGCACCCAATGCCAGAAGTTTCAAGTATAAAAAGCAAAGATTAAAAACTATAGAGATAGACTGCAATAAAATAATAGTAGGGAATACAAACATTCTACTCTCTGTAATGGATAGATCATGAAGACCAAAAATCAATAAAGAAACGTCAGTATTAAACTATAGGCTAGATAGATCAAATAGACCTAACCACATTTACAAAACATTTCACCCAGTTGCTATAGGGTGCTTTTTTTTCAGCAACAAATAGAACATTCTCTAGAATAGACTATATTTTAGGCCAGACAACAAGTCTCAACAAATTTAAAAAATAAAAATAAAAATTATGTCAAGCATCTTTGCTGACCACAATGCAATAAAACTAGAAATCAATATCAAGAATAACCACAGAAACACATGGGAATTAAACAACATACTTATCAACCAGTGGGTGACTAAACCATTAGAAATTTTTTTTGAGACAGAGTCTCACTCTGTTGACCTGGGTAAAGTACCGTGGCCCACTATGGGTCATAGCAACCTTAAATTCCTGGGTTCAAGTGATCCTCTGCCTCAGTCTCCCAAGCAGCTGGAACTACAAGCACACACCACGATGCCCAGTTTTTCTATTTTTAGTAGAGTTGGGGTCTTGCTCTTGCTCAGCCTTGTCTCTAGTACTCCTGAGCTCAAGCAATCCACCCACCTCAGTCTCCCAGAATGCTAGGATTACAGACATGAGCCACTGCACCCAGCCTGAGAAATTAAAAAAATTCTTGAAGCAAAGGAAAATGAAAATACAACATTCAAAAATCTATCACAATAAACACCTGCATCAGAAAAGTTGAAAGATTTCCAATAAATTACCAAACAATGCACTTCAATGAACTAGAAAAATGAAAACAAACAAAATCCAAAGTTAATAGAAGTATAGAAACAATAAAGACCAGAGGAGAAATAAATGAAATTGAGGCAAAAGAAAATACAGAACATCTAAGTAAAAAATTTGTTCTTTAAAAGATAATCTGTTAACTTTTACATAGACTAAGAAAAGACTCAAATAAATGAGATGAGAAATAAAAAAAGGACACAATTGAGATCACAGAAATATAAAGAATCATGAGAGACAATGAAAAACAACTATACACTAACAACTTTGAAAATCTAGAAGAAATGGGTAAACTACTGGTCACATACAACCCACCAAGATCGAACCATGAAGAAATAGAAAATCCCAAGAAACCAATAAGTAATGAGACCTAATCAAAAGTCTCTCATCAGAGAAAAGCTCAAGACTTGAGGCTTCCCTGCTTACTTCTACCAAGCATTTAACAAACTAATACGAATTCTTCTCAAATTCTTAAGAAAAAATAAAAATTGAAGAGGAAGGAATACTTTCAAACCTATTTTATGAGACCAGAATTACTCTGATAGCAAAACCAGACAAAGATACAACAGAAAGAGAAAACTATAAGCCAATATCACTTAACATGGATACAGAGATCATCCATTAAATACTAGCAAACCAAATTTAACACATTAAGTAGATTATTCGCCATGATCAAATGGAATTCATCCCAGAGATGCAGGATGATTCAACATGCAAATCAACAAATGTGATACATCACACGAACAGAACCAAGAGAAAAAAAAACACATGATCATTTCAATAGATGCCAAAAGCATTGGATAAAATTTAATATCCTTTTATGATTAAAAAAAAACTCAATAAACTGGTTATCAAAGGAAAATACCTCAAAATAGTAAAGGCCACATATGACAAGCCCACAGCCAACATCATACTGAATGGGGAAAAGATGAAAGCCCTTCCTCTACGATTTGGAACAAAACAAGGTTGCCTACTTTCTCAACTTATATACAACATAATACTGGAAGTCCTGGCTAGAGCAATTATACAAAGAAAGGAATAAAGGGCATCCAAATTGGATACACAGGATATTGGTAATTTTTTGGAACTAGAGATTATATTTCATATAATAGAATATTATAGTGCTTGTATCATAAATTATTTATGCACCATAACAAATTTTCTGTCTATGTCTGCTTTATGAGTTTCTTACTTTACGAGGAAATGATGGCTTACCATATATTATACTACACAAATTTTGGAGTCATGTTATCATCATAAAAACAAATGTATATTCAATGTCCACCTTTGTAAATGAATTAACAAAGGTGTCCAATACAGGAAAGATGTGTCATTTCAGCAGAATGAAATTCCAAAAATTTTACACAAATTCCATGAATCATATGAAAAAGAAATTAAACCATCATTGGAATGTAACTAATTTTCTATTTGATGACATTGATATAAATCTAAATAAACTTCTATTGAAATGATACAAGTATATGTTTCAATGTATATAAAGATCTACTATAGAGGCAACATGTTAACAGCTATCATCTGACTCTTCATATGTACATGAGAAATCTTAAAATAAACCGTGGCAAAACTAATTTACAATAAGCAATTCACAAAGTCATAAATGTACCCTCTGCGACCGTTTTATGCGTTAAATTGTCATCTTTGGCCCAAACTTTATAAACATATATTAATTGAAGGGTTTATATTTCTTGTAGTAAATACACACAACAGAGAATTTACATGCACATATTTCCATATATATAATATAGTATTTATATTTAAGATTAATCCATACTGTACTGTGTATCAGTTTTATTCTGGGTTAACACCGAACAATATTCACCAATATTAATTTTTGAAGTAGGTACTGATACTTCTGGTTTTTATATCATCTATAATAGCACCCATTGTGGGTGGAAAATGTAAACAAACATTTGTGCAATTTACATGTTCATCATCGATTTTGTTGACAAATGGAAATTCAGAACCCAGTTTTTCACAAAACATATGTTTTCTTCTTCTTTTATGTGCCTGTGATGCCAGGTTTATAGCCCAAAAAAGTTACTAAAAATAAAATCAGTAAAACTTTATAAATTGAGACTAATCTGTGAGTCAAAATATTCATTATATGAAGAATAGACTACTCTCTAATAACATTTCCAAATTTCTGATCAACACTAATCTTTGGGCTTTAAGAACTAGAAATCAGAAATCATGGTAATTTTAACAAATTTCTGAAATCATAAGTTATTCTGTATTTTTCATAATATGTTATTTACATAATTTTAAATAATGAGTGGCCATATTAGTAAATAGCAAGTTATTTTTCTGTGATAGAATTATCTAAAGTATTCATAGCCTTAAAAGGCTATAATAATAAATACATGGTTTTTCTTATTATAATGCAATTATTATGATAAGACTAAATATTTCAAGAACATATTAAAATGATCTCTACTATGTGGACATTTGAGAATAGAAAACCTTAATTAAGGTGACATTAATGCAAAATAAATGATTTAAAAATTAAAATACAATACCAGGAATATATAATAGTTAAATTTAAATATTATTAACATTAAACATTCAAAGTTATTATTCTTAAAATAAAAATTTAAAGCATGTAAAAATACATATATATTTATACCAAATATTCCGTGCATAGGAGAATTCCTTTCAGTTTGTATTTACTTTGATCAAATCTTTAAGAATGGCACCAAAATCGTCCTCAAGTTGGACATTAAGGTATGTGTTATTTCACGGAGGCTCATTTACTTGAATGAAAAATCTTGT